CGATGAGATTCCGCACAAAACGAAGCTGATTCTCCTGAAGAAAGAGCGTCTCGAGGTTTTCGAACCACAAGAAGTTGGGATGCAGGCCCGTGAGATCGAGGCCGGCGAAGCTCAGCTCGTGGAGCTTCGCGACGGCGGAGCGGGAGAGGTCGAGCGCGCGAACGGGATCGAGAATCTTCGGCGCCGCCACCGCGTGATCGCCGTCGGGGGAGGGGGGGGGCTCGTCATTCGGGAAGAGCGCGAGGCTCGCGGGGGCATCCGAGAGGACCTCCGCGCGTCGTTTCTCCTCTCGTCGGAGCAGGCGATAATACCGCTGGTTCGAAACGGTCCACATTTTGGGTCCTTGTTTGTTGAAACGAATTTGCCAGGTGACTACACCCCAAGGAGTACTGAAATAATAAAAGAGATCAATCGAAATGGATAGACATAGAGATGTGGAAGCGACATACTAATGTTGATCGGATTCGGAACATGCAACCCCCTTCCCATAGGCTGAGAGGCTTGTGGGAGGGGAAAAAGAAGAAGTTAAAATGCTATTATCGCCGCAAAACAAACAAACTAACAAACCCTACCGTGGTTCAATTAACACCCCTACACGCTTCATCCTTTTGATGTGATCGAACCTTCTCAGGGATACATACCCCTCCCCATATTAAGGGGATCCTTAGGTCGCCGCGTGGGGAATCCCCTGCGCGGGCGGCATGTCTCTTCCCACCCATAAACTCGGGTTTGCCTCCGCCTCGGCGTGGACGTCGATGGCGCCGACCGTTACCACGTTCGCCCCGCGAATCATCATCACGCCGAGCGGGGATTCCTCCATCGGTTTGCCCGCCTCGACCTCCCCAAGCCGGTCGAAGGGCGCCGCCGTGCGCTCCACGCAGGAGGTGAGCACCAAATTCAGCAGCTGATCGGCGGAGTGCAGCACCCCAACGAGGTTGCGCCCGTCCGTGGTGACCACCGACACCCGTTTGCGGAGGAAACCACTTAACATGACAAAGGGGGGAATTTCGAATCCACCACAACCCAAAGAAACACGAGTTTTTATTTTTTCCCCTAATTCAACGTGTGTGTGTGTGTATGCGTGTGTGTGTGATGTGGGGATACCTTTTGTGTTGGATTCGCCGTTTGTGTCGTGGCGATATATGAATTATTAGAGAAAAGGATTCAATACCAAAGATAATGCAAGGAGTGGGAATAAAAAGGAGGATCATCTTGTCCGTTTTCCATCGTGCAACTAAGTTATCAAAGAATGCAGAACACACTTACACATGTGGCGTTCAAAAAAAAAAGGATTGAAAAAAATTAGACATTTATGTTTATGATCTAGTATTGATCAGTTTAGGAGGTGAGATTTTGCTTTCTGAATCCGATTATCGCCATACAGAAGACGTATCCCTCTTCAAAAGAAGGGGGTAAAAATCAGGAAGAAACCTTTTTTTTAATGTTCCAAAATATTGCACTTTAAATCAAACATTTCAAACGTACTGGATAAAGGCAACCAATCGTTCTTTTATATATAGATATATAGAAAAAAATACGTGTCTCGAAAATTGAAATAACAAAGAAGCCGATTTACTTCATTCAAAACATCAAGAGTTAAATTGTTTAAAATTAATATCTCCGTCAAGCTGCACTACCTTGTTCTTATTATTTTTTTTTTAGTCACAGCGATCTACCAAATATTCACCACATGTCCTTTCAAAAAAAAAAAAGTACCCTAACTCCAAATTCCTGATACAATTCCAAAGATTCGATAACAACCCCATAATTATATTGTTGCGTTTGTCTTATTCCCCGCCCCCCTCCCCATCCTCCTTTCTTCGTTAAAGTTTTAGTTTCCACTTCCACTGGTCTAATCAACTCCTTGAATATGCTTTTTGCTCGGACTGACCGTCGCTGTATTTACAAAATGAATATTTCTGCAAATTTGCGGGAGGGGGTTTTCGACATCGTACTGATATTATTAAATATGCACAGCCATGCACGTCGTTGATTTTACACCTCTTGGACTACTTTTATTCATCTCAAATCAAGAAGCAAGTGTTCAAAATAAGAGAAAATAGCGCCTATCGAATAATCGAACCACAAAAAAATAAGTAAAAATGCATGCAAATTTCCTTTTCTTTAGCCTCCTTGTTGTAGCATTTGTGTGTGTGTATTAATTGGGGCGCTGCTTCAAGGGACAGGTCAAATATGTGTTGATGTGTCTATTGTGAATGAGTAATACCAAGACCCCCCCTAAGAAAAGGAACAACAACCTGACCCATGCAATACAGATAATGATATAGTAGTAATATACATATACATATATATGTATAAAAGGCCGCTATCTATATCGTGCAATAATTTTCATCATCAAGGAAGGCATTAACGTTTGCGTTTTTTTCTTTTTTCTTCCTGTGTACTTTTACACCCCGGGGGTTGGCTTTTCGTTTACATGTTTACCTTCCCCCTCTTCTTCACTCCACTGGTTTAGCTCATCACGCGCTTCACGACCGCGAGTACATCCTCGACCTGCGGCTGCGAGGCGGTCTCGAGGACTTTGCTGTACGGCGTCGGGCAATCCGCGCACGACACCCGCACCATGGGCGCGTCCAGGTAATCAAACGCCTCGCTCTCCATTACGCACGCGCAGATCTCCGCGCCGATGTTGCAAACCGGGAAGGACTCGTCAACGGTCACCGCGCGGTGGGTTTTCTTGATCGACTGGATGATCGTCTCGCGGTCGAGCGGGCGGAGCGAGCGGAGGTTGATAACCTCGGCCTCGATCCCCTCCGCGGCGAGCTTCTCCGCCGCCTTCATGCTGATCTCCACCGCTCGAGAGAAGGCGATGAGGGTGATATCCTTCCCCGCCCGCTCCACCTTCGCCTTGCCGAACGGAATCGTAAAGTCCTTATCCAGCGCGGCCTCGGAAACGGGGTAGCTCTCGCCGTACATGAGCTCGTGTTCGAGGATCACCACGGGGCTTTCGCTGCGCACCGCGGCCTTCATCATCCCCCGCGCGTCCTCGGAGTTGTACGGGGAGACGACGATGAGGCCGGGAACGGAGGCGTACCAGGGGGCGTAGCATTGGCTGTGCTGCGCGGCCACCCCGGCGGCCGCCCCGTTCGGCCCGCGGAAGACAATCGGACAATGGAGATGCCCGCCCGACATGTAAAACCCCTTCGCGGCGGAGTTCACGATGTGGTCGATCGCCTGCATCGCGAAGTTGAAGGTCATGAACTCGCAGATCGGGCGCATCCCGTTCATCGCACACCCCACCGCCATCCCGGTCACGCCGTACTCCGTGATCGGCGTGTCCACGACGCGATCGGGGCCGTACTTGTCGATCAGCCCGCGCGTGACTTTGTACGGGCCTTGGTAATTCCCCACCTCCTGGCCGAGGACGAAGACCTTGGGATCCCGCGCCATCTCCTCGTCGATCGCGCTGTTGATGGCGTCGCGGACGGCCATTTTGGTGGCCGCGCCGCGGAGGCCCCCGGCCATCGCCGCCGCCGCGGAAAGGGAGGACACACAGAAAGGTGCAAACCGACGCATGCTCTATACAAGAGGAAGGAAATCAATGATTATATATAAATAAAAAGGGTTATTTATTTATATATTATTAAATCCTTTCTTTTTTTTACGTAGGTTGGATTCACTTGGGAAGGTTTCGAATGAGGAAGTTTGTTTCCTATTTGATACCGTTAACACAATAGTGTGAAATAAAAAATTAAAGGCAATTTAATAGCTAAGGAGTTCGCTAGATCTGAAAGAGGGAGAAGGAAATGGAAACAAGAAACGGAAAACATTAGAGGACTGAGGCCAAACGATTTATCATGCCGGCCTGCTACCATGACGATACCTAATCGCTTTGAAGATTAATCAACCCCAATGCGGTTCTACACGCTCTTTTTAAATTTACCGCTTCATGTTATACACACTTCATCCGCATTTGCACTAAAATTCCTTCATTGCAATTCCGTCATTCGTGGAATATTTTCACCAGAAGAGGGGGACGGGTGGGCGCGGCGATGATGAGGCCAGCGCACACATCGCCCCCTCTTTTCTATGTTGGATATTCATCCAAATTGAAGGCGCCCGCGACCGCACTATATTTTCATAGCTTTTCTTTCTCTTTTTTTTTCCAACAAATATAATAAAAATGGTTATTCCGAGTGATTTCTAATGCCGTCGGGAATGCCGCCCGGCGCGGTGGCGCCGAGATCGCTCGCGGGAGGGTTCTCTGCGGCCCTGCTCCCGCACGTCTTCGCCGCGACTGGAGTTGATGGGGCGCTCTCGTTCCCGCTCCCGCTCCCGTTCTCGTTTTCGATACTCCGTTCCCTCCCGCCAACGACGTTGGCCTCGCGCCGCATCGCCGCCACCACCCTCTGTTGGAATCGCCGTTGACAGGTGCGGATCGCCGCCTCTCGACTCCCCGCCGCGTTTCCCGTGTGCAGGGGTTGCAACCGCAGCTTTTCGATCCTGCCGCCCTCCCCCTCCTCCTCCCCTCCCTACAGGTCCGGAAGGGGGAATTGACGTCGTCGTGGTCGGGGCGGGGCGGCGCGTGAAAAGATCCGCCACCCGCGCCGCAGGCTCACTCATCCCCTCCAAGAGCGGCTGCTCCACCTTCATGAGGGCCTGAAAGCCGAGGGAGAGGATTTGCGCGCGGCCGAGGGCCTCACGCCGGGCTAAAATGCAGCGATTGAACGCCTCGTCGTACTTCGCAACAGGGCGGATTAGCCATCGCACATGCTGCACCACAAAAAAGCCCGCCCAATCCCCGAGAAACGTCCCTTTCCCAAGGCAATAACGAATCATCGCGTGAAGATCGCTCAGCGTATGACTCATGAGGCTGTTCGCCTCCTTCTCGGAGGTTGGGAGGATGCCAGCGAATTCGCCGCCGCTTTCCGCCGCGTAGCTTCGCCGGTACGGCAGCACCACCCCCTCCGCCACGTCGTGGAGGAGCACTGCGAGGGAGCGGCATTCCAAGAGGCTCCGCGAAGGCCGCATGAAGACGGCGGTGAGTTGACGCATCAAACGACGAAGCAACGCCGCGAGCGCGAGGGGGGCGAAGAAATCCCGCGCCACGACGAGAAACAGCCGAAGTGCGGCCCCAGCCACCGCGCCATCCACTGGCGATAGCATCGCCCGACGCAAAATAGCAGTGATCATCCTTTCAAAATACCCACGCGAGGCCGCGTCCGACAGCGGCGCGTTCGCCAAACCGTCTGCCGAATTCTTTGCAGCCGCTTTCTCGGTCTTATTCTCCCCTGTTGGGTTCGCCTGTTCTTCACTACCACCACCACCACCGCCATCGACCGCCATTTTGGCTGTTTCATCGCCATCGTTGGAGGGCTCCTTCTTTGAATCATCCGCGTCGATGAGGATGGGGGGGTTGCGTTGCATCAGTTCATCACCGGGGGCTTCCTTGCGCAGGGCGATAACATCATTTTGGAGGGCCGATCGCATCCGCCGCAGTGCCTCCGCCCGAGCCGTCTTCAGAAGCTCGCCATGCCCGTCAAAGGTCGCGCGCAGTCGGAGGAGGGTCATTCCTTGGCTGGGGCCATCCGCGAAGGTTGCGTGGCAACTACGAAGCAACGCCTTGGCGTCACTCAGCGGCTGCTCATCGACGTCCTCAAGCTCAATAGACCACAACCACTTCTCCCATGCCCGTCCGCTATTATCCTCGCCGCTCTTGTCCTTATCTTTCTTCATCGTGCCACGTGTTGTTGTAAAGCGACCCCACAAATCTTCCAACAACTCTGCTTCCTGTGGGCTTATTTCACGCGAAGGCCGCGCCTCAGCGAGCACTTCACGTAACCGGCATAGCATGCGATGCAACCACCCCTGACGCACGCTGGCATAATCCTCATCCAGCCCCACTTGCGCGCAAAAACGTAATATTCCAAAGAAAAGACATGAAAGAACGTCGATACCAACGGTGGTGAGCGAGTTCACTTCCCCCCCACCCCGCACTGAGGAGCTGGTAACCGTATTCCTACCATCATGAGAAAGAACACTGTCATACGCTTCTGAAAGAAGGCGCTCACAGACCACACGACCAGACTCCACGACGATATCCGTGAAAAGGCGCGATGCGTGGCATTCCTCCGTCCCTTCCTTTTCCACCGGTGCGCAGATCAGCTGATCGAGAAACGCCCATGCGTCCGTCTTCGCGTTCCAGGCGAGCCTGTCGGCCCGGCGAGAGTAGTAGCCCCTGGGGAGTTCGTGCAGAGCAGCGACCGCCGTGCTCACCGGGTAGCGAAGCCCGCCGACGAGCCGGTCGCGGCCGTGGACGGTGCCGTGCTCGAGTCCCAATGCGCGGAGCGGCGGCAGGAGGAAGGCTGCCAGCCCGTAGCGCCGACACTCCACGATGGAGTAGCGCAGGTGATGCCACAGCGAGGAGCGGCGCGTGCCCGCAAAGGCGACTTGGATCGCTGCACACAGCATCAACAGGTCACCATTGGGACAGATCTCACCACTGGGACGAGCACCATTGGGACAGGCATTACCATTGGGACAGGCATTACCATTGGGACAGGCATTACCAGTGGGACAGGCATTACCAGTGGGACAGGCATTACCAGTGGGACAGACACTACCAGTGGGACGAACATCACTACAGCGGCCCTT